AGTCATTGTTGTCACGTCACGTTGAGTAAAAGATGTTGTTGTTTTAATTGGTGATCACACATATTGATTGTTGTCGACGACATATCGGGTTTCAATCGGCAAATTTATTGCAGATATTTCGGTTGAAGCAGCCAAAGTAATGATGATAATATTGATGTTGTCGACGTCATAGTGAGAACCATGTGGAGGGAAGCTGTTGTTACTTATCTGATCAAATACTTGTACCTGGCTTAGCCTGAACTTAATACTTAAAGAACTCTTATATTTATTTCTAAATTATAATCTGAGATATGCAGTTTCTCGTTTTATTTTATAGATTTGTTTATTTTGCTTGTGTTTTATTGATTTATCTATTTGTGTTGTGTTTTAATCAAGTTTTCCCGGATAGTTCCTGAAAAGAGCAACACACAGAGGGAAGAGAAAGGAAAGAGAACAATTGTTAAGGATAAAAGTCATTTAGCCAGGCTTAAAGCGTCAGAGACCTTTGTGTGTGGTTTTGTGGCCAAGAGAATATGTGAACCGAATTGTGTCTATCAACAGCAAAGTAAACAGTTAACAATAAACTCTTTTCTTCAAGCGAATAAACGGTACAAATAAGAAAACCAGTATTAAGGTATTTAAAAATAATTTAAAACCAAAATCTTGTATACAGATACAGATAATACCGAAATGTTCCCTCATTGTTCCGGAAAATAGTTAAAATACAGTTAATTAAATAAACAATTTACAGATAAGGTTTACAATAAAATCTGATTAAGTCCCGATACTAAAACCATAAGTATATAGTTGGACACCACCCAGGCATGAGTAATGCCACTTTTGATTTCTCCCATCACTTTTCCCCTTTTCCATTTACTTTGTTTACACAAAGTTATAGGCCCACTTAGTAAAAACAAAACAAAAAACAAAAAAGGAAAACAAAATATAAAAAAGCCTGCAGGTAGGCTGACATCCACAATCTCCCGCTATAGTACGTACTGCTATATAAGCACTGTAAAAATCAATTAAACTTTTCAAGTGAAGTTATAATGGTTTCAACCCCTTTATTCTCACCAGCATTTTCTGGGTGTTTTATTTCTGTGTGTTTTTTTTGCGGGCTCCTTCTCCTGATATCGCCTCCCTGCATTGTTGTTTTTGTTGCCTTTGGATCGCAGTCAGTTTTCTTATTGTTTCCCATAGCCTTGCACTGTTGTTGTTGCAGTTGTCAAAAGTTTTAAAATAATTGGATTTTTTTGGTGTGTGCTCGCTGTAAGCACAGCACGAACACTGGAATGTTGACGACTGCGGAGGGGCAGAGCGGCAGAGGTCCAGGAAGCCACTCTAGGTACTCCGCCCCCAACTCATTCTATATAAATTAAAATTTCTTTGTTGCAAAACCCTCGTGCACACACACAGACACAGTCGCAGGAGCACTCACACATTCGCCAGTACTTAATGCAGGATTGCTGCAGTCATCGTCAGCGCCATCATCGTGAGTATTACCCAATTTCCAGCTGAAGTTTTCAACACCAAAGTGTAAACGTCAACAACAACACGAGCCGGGTAGGAGTAACTGGCGACCAACTGTGTGGGCGTGGCCGATCAGCCGCCCATATATAGCCTTCTATATATATATATATATATATATATATATAAGTTTGCCATGGCGAAAGCGCCTGTTAAAGCGATATTTGAATAGGCAGAAGAGGCGTGGAGTCGCGGGAGGACCGTAAAAGTACGTACACTTGTGACAAGGAGTTACTTTTATTTCTGCATTAAGGACGACATCGATGGCAGACAATGAATAATATTACGGATATATAAATCAGAATAAATGCAATATCCTATATAAATCATTGGTTACAAAAAAAATCTAAGCAAAACACCAACATAATTTGGTAATCTCTGCAATGTGCACAGATAATAAAATATTTATGAGATAATTACTTAACTTCACATTCGAATTAAACTATTATCTGGAACTCAAAGTTCTGTAAAAGGAGGAAATACCTTCTTTTTAAGGTTTATTGATCTGTGTACAACCTTAAACACTTAATCCACTTGTGATGTAAAATACAAATGGCTTTTCCTTCGGTTGGCACAATAATATATATAACCTAGTCTCCATTGGGCACCTATCTGTGTTTGGTATATCGACATCTAAATCTCTTTTTCGACACTTAATTATTTCCAATTAGGTGTTCCATATAATTTCGAATAATAGATACAATGAAATCGATATAATTTCACTTAGGAAAATTAATGTCTTCCCTAGCCTATGGATCCAAAATAACCATTGATGACACATAGCGTTTCTAACTGATTATGTGTTATGCATTTATCTGTTTTTGACATTGATGAACCATTTCATATTATTAAACTTTTCACACCTAATTTCTTTAGATTAGTTACAAATTTAATAATTCGATTTCTTTATGAAATATAAAAGTAGTTCAGTTAATGTTGTTAATATGGCTTATACGAATTTAGCTTTCTTTATGTTATCTTTAAAATGAAATTAAAGTCATATTTAATGAATAATATAAATATCCTCTGTTTCGGATTTCTTTTACAAGATAAAAATGTTTTGATTTGATTATAAATTTGTTGTTTATTTCCTAGCTTTCTTTCAAGTTATATTTATTTTCCTATAATGTTTTACTTAACTGCTATTAATATGATATATTTAGGGGCATAACTTCAAAATTAGACTTCTCCCACATAACATTTTAATTTTTCCTTTTTTGGCATGTGAAAAAAAATCGATAACACTGGCTTAACATGCTACAAAAATATTCTTATTCTTTTTTTTTTTTTGTATGCCGTGCCAAGGATTCTTATTACTCTCCAAGAACATAACTATGTCACTCTGCAGACCTCACTGACCACAAATACTGGTGCCTGGGCCTTTCTGCTGGAAATCACATCGCAGCTGCTCCTAAAACGATTTTAGGTCGCTTCAATCACAGGCACACAAACACGGAACAAGCCGACATCCGAAACCCAAAAGTACCATCAACAACAACAGTCATTTTGGCGCGTTGCGTTAGTTTCGCACCAAATTTCAAATACCCCTCTAGGCCCTTGGCCGAAAAAACGAACTGCGAAAAATTGCCAACGGTTTCGCTTTAAGCCAAATCCAAGTCGGGCCCAAGAAAGGAAAAAAAAAAATGGGAAAAAGTGGGAGCTGCTCGTAAAACTGCAAATGAAAATAGATAAAAAGCATCTCTCGTCCTTGCCCCGGCAACTTTATTTTGTAAATCAATTGAATTTTCAATTGTGTGCGAGCAAACTAAACCAAACCACGACCAAACAACAAGCGAACAACAAACGAAAAAAAGGTGAACATAAAAAGGGCAAATAAAGGAAACGACACTATTACCGAAAAAGGACGAGGAGTCAGCAGCCAACTAGCCCAACAGGATTTCTCGTTCGGTTCGGCAATCTTTTCAATCTCGATCTCAAGAGGCAGTAGATTGGCGTTTCTTATTAGCCGGACAAACAATAGACTGTCGTTATTCATAAGAGCGAGAAATAAAAAATTTACTGAAATGATGTCATCGATTTTCCAGGTCACACACACACACCACACACACAAGATCTCTGGGCACTTGATGCTAAAACTGTTTACCATTTCTGTATGCCAGCTGGCGGCGTTTTGGCCAACTTCTTGTTAATTATGTTTCAGGTGAAATTCAGACTCAACTTATGGGAAATAATTGAAAATTAAACAAAAATTTCAGAGCCGAACGAACCGTTTACCGGCTTTGCCGCACAAACAAGAACACAAACGGGCAAAATGGTAGGGAACCGAGGCAAGCCGAAGACGAGGACGAATTGGTTTGGTTAACTTGGCGAATTACGACTAAAATCACTTTGCCAAGATTTCCATTCAATTTCATTTCTATTCCGGTACGATTATAGCCGCATTAGGCGTTTGCTTCTGTTTAAAAAACTTTGATTTTATATGTAACTTGCGATTTCATTCGTGTTGTTTTTAACAAACATTTTCTTGATTTTTTTGTATTTTTGTATTTTCACGTTGGTTGTTAATTATCGCACACGGTTAGGGGACGCGCGCTCTGTTTCTTACACGTTCGTTACATCCTGCCAAATCCCGAAATTGTACTAAATACGTACAAAACTTTTACGATTGGCTAAGGCTAGGAGCAGCAGTGCTCGTGTTTTCATCGAGTCAAGTGTGTGCGTTTGTGTGTCGCTATTCGCCCGAAGAGTCCTTACCGAACAGGACGAAGTCGTGTGTGGTGGGTTTTCCGATGAGCGGAAAATCCGAAGCTGTGAGAGTTGCAAGAGTAAAATTCGTAAAAGCCACCCTCTCAAAATTGAGTTTCCCAAGAAGTAGCTAAATGAACAGAAGACCATTCTCTTAGCAAGCCAATCTGAGTGGCTTTTCAAAACTCATGAAACTCTGCTGAAATACTCAGCTCAAAACTTAGCTCAGTTCACAAACAAAGCTCACAAAAACTGCTCAACTATTCTGCTTAAACCATGTAAGCGACTCATTGAGAGATGTTATGGAGTTTTTTCTCTTTCAGGATCTGAGGATTATTATTTCCACCAATTCCTAATTTTCCAAAACATTCCCTCAATTTAATTCCATTGTTCAAAACAATTATAGTTTTTGAATAAAAATTGAGAACACAAAATTGAGATAAATAAAAACCTACCTCATGTTATCAGCAGAATACAAGAGAAATATCTACTGCATAGCTCTGTAAACTCATCTTAATATCTCAAAGAGATGACTCAACTCAAAAATGAACATTTGGAGCCACTGAGTCGCTTAAACTCATTTTCCGGCTTAAAGAGATGGGACGAGTTGTGACTCATTTGTGGAAATCATTTGCTCAAAGAGAGGTGTGCTCGTTTCGGGACTGAGCTTTCCTACAATACCCTCGATGTTCGTGTTCGGCTTCCGAGGGTGAAAATCGCATCCACGAATACCCGCCATTGACTTTGACCGTCGTTCTACCGTTGTCAGTCCTATCTAGAGCGGCGAACTGTGAGCTGAAAGCGGCTGAAAGGACGAACCAGAAGGAGGATATTACGCCGCAAACGAACACATACAAAAAGTATGCGAGAGCGAGCGAATTGTCCAGCAGACTTTGATAATTTCACTGGTCGGCATACTTTTTTGTTTTGGCGCGCTGCATGTTAGCCCCAAGTCCTGAGACTAAGTGAATGTGAAATGTGACAAGCCAAGTGACAGTTACGAAAAGTTGAATCAAAAACGAAACAACGCCGAGCAGATGAAACCAGTTGCGGAAGCAGATGCTCGAGGAGGCCCCAGGAGACATTTAACATAATAAAAATGAACGTGTGCGGCATTTTGGCGTTGCCTGTGCCAAGTTAACAGCATTTCGACGCGTGTGTGTACGGGTTTGTTTAATGCTAATACTGCAGACACACACACCCAAGCCTGCGAACAAACAATATTGCCAATGTGCGCGACGAGCAGTGGCAAAAGTGTCGTAAATCGTTTAGACGGCACAACGTGGAGCTCCGCAAAAGGGAAGAGTGCCAAGCGATATGTAAACGACACAGTCGCCGTGGGAAAAACTCCATAAACGCACGAGCACAACGAAAAAATACCCAAGCAAATGGAAGAATAAACCAGAGTTGGCCAAATACCCCCACGAAAAACTGCATTTGTTGCTTATGTGAGTATCCCATAAGAAAGAAATAATTTCCTCTTTTTTTTTGTCATTTCGGTTTCATTCTTATTTATTTTGTATGTGACTTTAACGTGAAACAATTTGGTAGATACCGGAGAAGTTGGAGTCGCATAATAAATTTTTACGTGCGATTCCTTTTGTGTGCTTCAGCTAATAATGCCACAAAAAGTAAGTGTCTGTAAAAATGGAACAAATAATGGTGCGACGGTCTCAAGTCAACCGAAATAAAATAAACAGCAATTTAATGCCATAAAATGTCACCACATTTTATGAAGTGTTTTGGAATATTTTTATCTAGATATCTGTCCGGTGTGTTCATTGATTGGAAGTTAATTCAAAATAATTTTCAGACGAATGTGTAATTAAATTATACATATATAATAAAGCCAGCAAGTGATACATTTGTGTTAAACCCGTACTTCCGATCTAGGCTTTTAAAAATTAAAATCAAATTTGCTCTTATTTATCTTGTTCCAATTTTTATTTTTTTTTTTTTTTTGTCTGAAGAGAATGTGTATTTATTGTAAAATCTCCCTTTTTTAGTTGTGGGAGTAAAAGAAGGCGGTCATAATTTTTAAACTTTCTTGATCTGCGTAAAACTCATAAAAAATTTGTTAGGTATACCTCCTAAAGTCCCTAAAATCAATGTGGACCGGCGGCCAATTTTTGGCTTGTGTTAAACACACAAGAGGGTAAAAAGTAGTTATTGAAAACTGAATAAAATAATAACAAACAAGCCCAAAAATTTAAATAAATATAAAAAGATTAATCCAATATATAACTACTTTTTTTTGTATTAAAATTATTAAAGGATTTTATTGTTGTGAATTTATTTATATTTCCTTCTGTTACTGTAGAGTTGTAACTTTTCAAATGCATAAACAAATTAATTAATTTTGCTTAATGCAATACCAGCAATGGCACAATATTTTTACAATTTACAAACAAAAAAGAAACTACTAAAATTAATTCAAGACTAAAAAGCAAGTGGAAAAAGTAAATTTCATGATATAAAGTTAAAGTTAAAGAAAAAGTTAAAACTTCAAATACATCTACGACCTCAGTAGTAATCAGCAATAGAAAAGGGAAATGTAAATTAAATGTCCAATCAAACAAATTATAAAAAGTAGAAAAATAAATGTAATAATTTAATAGTCTAAATTTATAACGTCTTCGTTTTTCTTTTTATACATTTTCAGATGTGGACATGAAGACCTCAAGGAATTCAAACGATTTGTTAAGAAAGCTGGATGATAATTTTTAAAAGTAAGTATTTTTGATTAACTTAACTTAGTTTATCCCAATCAAACTGCATACTGCTGTATACCTTTCCTTAAAATTAATAAGAGCACTAAAAAGTATGGTATATTTTTGAAAAAAAAAAAAAAAAAAAAAAAAAAAAAAAAACATTAAGCCTTGTAATTTGCAAACAGCTAAGTAATATTTCGCTTACTATTTTTTTGCTTCTAAAAACTATGTTTAAATTGCTTATAAATATATTTTAAAATACTGATGAGAAATATTGAAATATTGGAAATATTGGAAATTGAAATATCTAGAAATAATAAAAACAGTTAATGTAGCTTTTAGCTTGCGAAAACTTCAAACTATATTGCACACCTTTCCTTTTTTTAATACCAAGAACTCAAGCACAGCAAATTCAATCTTCAACAATCTGTCACAAAGTCACTTGTAGGGGCTAGAGAAATCGTAAAAAATATCCAACACAAAGAAAATAGCGGGATGATGTGCGTAGTTAGTGCAACAAGCAAATGCACTTGAAAGGAAATCTATAAAAATTGCCGGCAGTATGACGTGTCCGCCGTTAAAGTTTTTGGCAAACAAAGCTACTTATCGTTCGGTTTTTTTTTAGGGAGTTGCTAAAAGTATTCATAAAACAGAAGCTCAGTGGGGAAAGGATGTTTTAAGTAAGGAGGGGACATCGTGAAGCAGGCACGTAGCTGCTTGCTGCTTGCTGCTGCATACTTTTACGCGTCTCTTTAGTATTCATTTGCAAAGGTAGCCCGCATATAGGGCGAACGGACGTTTCGAGCGGCAAAAGGATCGTGGCTGCGAGCTCCCTGCTGCTTCTGCTCATTATGCATGCTTGTCCGCACGTACCCGCCTCACCGACACCAAACCCATTCCATCTCAAAGACGATGCCCACGCCACGCCACGCCCACTCGCACACATTGCGAAGAAGAGTTTTCTGTTCTGTTTCTGCTAACTTTTCCCAATTTCATTTTCAATTGACTGTCGACCAAACACGCTGCCGGCTCGGCTAACCACCAGCAATTGAGCGTATGAAATGCCAGAAAGGACCTGGCCCTCACAAAAAGTTTCGTCAGCCAGGGCATGACACACCAAGGCGCACTGAAAGGATATCGCAGAGATACCAAAAAAAGAGAGAGAGGAACAACATATTCTTTTCTTCCAAAAGAATCATTTTCTTTCATTTCAATTTCGTTGCCAGTTGCCCTCTGTATTATGCTACTTATTTTATTTCAAGCGTAAGGAGCACGCATACATTCATATGTGTGTGTGTGGGTGCCTTGTGCAACCATTCTATCTATCATGCCTTATCCCCAAGAAAGGAAAGTTTCCTGCGAAATTACGCCACGCACAATTCATTTGCAAATAGGAACAGTTTAATTTGTTGCTTTTGTGTGTGTGTTGTATGACAGGGTTATCCCTGACCAGTTTACAAAGTTTTTGAAAGGACCCGCATTCAGAACACACACACACACACCCACACATGAACCCAAAAAGGATTCCTCATAGGTGCACTGCGTTAAACGAGCTTACCCACAAATCAAATCTGTTCGATGTGTGCTCCCTTTGACCAGACGCAGTAATTAAAGCTGGGAAACATCTCCGTGACTCAAATACTAATTGCTTAAGAAAACTAAATCACTTTAGTCGACTATTTTATTTTTCCATAAAAGAGAATTAATTATCAATTCGTGTCATGGTTCTCGCGAAGGATAAATATATATTTTTAAAAATTTTCTTGACCTGAGTCAAAATCGGTAATAACAAATTCTAAATTGGAGTTCGAAATCCAAGTTTTCTAAATAAAATTCATTCGAGGCTGATGATAATTCCTCTTGCCGCATTTACCTATTGTGTAATTATTTGTAGCCCTGAGGTAAACTAGAATATTAAGTATCTGTCATATTAATAATTAATCATAAGTTTTACAGATCAATCATTTTGTTTTTTTGTTTGTTTTTAATTTTTTTTTAATACAAAGGCACAAGAAATCTATAAAGTTAACTGAAAAATCTCTAAAGTGATCAACTTTTTTTCCCTTTTGAGTACATTCAAAAATGTATTATTACATCGGACCTGGTAAGAAAAGTAAATTAATAACACGGACATCAGCTAAAATTACCAAGAACTGTTTTTATTTGTAAGATTTTTTATATGCATTTAAGATGGGGACAGAGGCAAGAATTTATAAATACTTATGTTATATGTTAACAAAATGTTAGCTGAACTCGAGAATTTAAAAGACAAAAATACTTAGCTAAATGAACACGGTTAGCTTTTTATACCTTTGCAGGTTATTATAATTTTAGTCAAAAGCTTGCAACGCAGTGAAGAGTTCATCTATACATCTCAGTCATCATACATCTCTACCAATTTTTGCAATTTTTATAAACATGGTTAAAATTATGAAAAATTCACAGAACTGTTCATTTTTCTAAATATTATATTGGCTCTGCAGTTTACATTTTCTATTATCAAAACTAACATCGAAAGCTTCCCGAATAAAAGATAGGCTTTTGTGACTTAGTTATGCATGGCTCATATTTGATTTCCCCAAAAAACTGTCATAAAAATACAAAAACATTGAAGTTTTTAAATATTTTCGAAGATAGTTTTTTTCTTGTTTACCATTTTTTGCAATTTGGCTTTAAAAAAAATCCTTTGCAAAATGCTTGAAATAATAGCACAAAATTAATACCAAAATACTTGAAATTTTTGACACTTGTGGGATAAATTAAATTAATGAAACAAGTAAGAAAGCTATCTGCGGCAAGTTTGAATGAGATAGGAATGGGGTTAAAAAAATTTAGTGTTATTAACTTTCTGTTTGTCAATAGATTTCTCAAAGCAAATTATAATGCCGTTGTGCCCATAAAAATAGTATTAAGTTTTCTCCCCTCTTAAAACCCTGAAATTTGTTTTTTAATAATAGCTTAGGAATGTTTTTTGTTAACCGGGCCAAAATTTTAGCCAAAAATATAAATAATATATTATAAGCAAATAAATAGTTATAAAATATTTATCAAGCCGGCAGAGCTTTCCTTCTCGTTTTTAATATTATCATAAAAAAATTTCGACAAAATTCGATATTTCGTGATTGCTATATACATAAAAAAAACGGAAAGATTATAACACCGAAATTTTTTAAACATTAAAACCCACGTTTTTGTTATTGCCCGGCAAAGTCTCTGCTTTTAAACTAAACTAATTGCTGGAGTGTCAGAAAAAACATTGAATCGCTTTTAAACAGTTGTCCAACATAACAAGGTGCCTATTTGTTTTGGTCAGACAATAATGTTTTTTTAATCTTTTTTTTCGCCAAGGTCTTGAAATTATTTTCTATTGCAAAACTTTTGCGGTTCCAAATTAAGCAGATCAACGTATCTCTTTATACAGAGGACACTTAAATGTCACTGCGAATAAAATTTGTATCTGTTGTGATCTTCACCTCGTGAATTTCTGATTATAAGTGAATGTAACTCGGAACGTATGGCTTAAACAGGTTGAAACAGTCTTAAATATCTTGTGTTCTAATTTTAAGAAACCTAACTTGCAACTTCCGAAAGTAAATATAACTACTTGTTTGTATCTGTAAAGTTATGATCGATTAACCCAATTGTTCGTTTTTCAATAATATCTAAAAATACTAACAATGTTAGTTAATATTTTCAACTAGCTTACAGATATTTTTTTATATTTAGCAACAGCCAGACCCAAGTCCGTTATTTATACTTATATACTTAATATAGTGATTAAATATAATTTCATTAGTTCGACTGTATAAAATGTAAACCAAATTTTATATTTATAGTTTGTGTAGTCGTTTGCTTCCCATAGTCAGGGAATCATTTAAATTTTATGTAAATCACAGGTAATAATAAAATAGAAACATTATGGTCTCCATTATTCCATTTCCAACTTCCTATTCAACAAATGTATTATTCTTAACATGTGTATCTAAGATTCAGAGTATAGTATTGTTTATGTTCCTCCTATTGAAAGTTATATTTATTTATTTTGGTTATTTATTTATGTATTTACTGCATATCTCCTACTTATACATTATAAGAGTTCTTTAAATATTAAAAGAATAAGTAAAGTTAAATTATATACTCACGTTTGGAAACATAGTCATAGTTACGATTTTTCTTCTATAAGAAGCTCTTCCTTATCGACATCAGCTATAATTAAAGAAATAAAAAGTTTACATTTTATTATGCATCAATACATACATATTTGTATATTTTATAAATATATTTAATATATATCTATTTTTATTCCAGGTTCTTCCCAGAAGATTATGCTCCCAGTCAAGACTGTGATGAATATTACAAATTTAAAAATAAACAAATGTTAAAAGAAAAGTCAATAAATATACACTTAAATAAATTGTGGTTGTTTTATTAATAAAAGAGAGGTAGTCCTGCCGCAACCATTTGTGTTCCAAATTATTGTTATTATATACCCTTATTATTATGATTCGTGGCGCAGCCAATGTCAATGCCCAACAACAAAGTCAGGATGTAGAGTCAAGGTGCTCCAGCAGGCTTAGCCCAAGGAGCCAAGAACACCGTCAGGCGGAAATGGCGAAGGACAATGGAACGAGGAGAATGTGCCTGCTTAGCCCTCCCAAGCATGTTGGTCTCAAAAATTTATGTATTGTTTGTTTATTTGTTTATGCAGTCTCTGCTCGTTCTGAAGCCCCTCCTCACTCCATTCATCTAGTATATATACACATGGAGCAGAGAGCTTCTCCTCTTACCAGTTTCTCATGCAAATTTATACACCTTTGCAGGCTGCCATAATAAATATTCCCAAATATATATCTGGTTTCAGCGCCTTTTGTCTACTTTTCGCTGTGTCTGTCGCCTTAGCCCACCCCTGCTGCCGGTTTCTTCTTCTAACTTGTCGCCTTGTCACGTGTCGGCATCATTACAACACGTACCAGAACTGTTTATACAAAGAATATATATCGCTTATAAGACCAGCCAATCTAACGAAAAAAAAGAAATCATTTAAATGCACGAATCACAAATGCTCTTCAAAAACGAAAATAACAAAAAAAAAAAAAAAAAAAAAAAGATTGATTGGGAAAACTATTCAAAAATCTGTGCTTTGAAAGGTGCAAAATATATATAACATTTGGATGCGCCTTTTAAATTTAAATGTAGACAAATTTTGTAGATATTTAAATCCTTCTTTAATGTTTGCCATTTAAGAGAAGTTAATTGTTCGATATTTGCGGGCATACGCATTTGGCACTTTTGGTCCTTTGGGCTACGGGCGGGCACACATTCTCGCCTAAAACTAAGCACCAAAACATGCCAAGCATGTCGAGCCCAATTGCCTGAACAGTCTAAACCAGCTCAGTCTCAATTCCCTTCCTTTGGACCTCCCTATGTTTGCCCCATAAGCGTCACAGTTAATTTGTTGACAGCTTTGCTGGTGGAGGGGGCAGGAACGAGGATACGGCTGTAGGATACATTGGTGGACAAACGTACAAATGTTGGCCTCCACTGGGACTACAAGACGAAGCCATGTAAAGTATATAAATGACCAAAGCGAAAGGCCTGAGAAATATAAGGGCTCACAGCTGTAATTAGTGGGGAAAGAGGAACTCGTACTGGTCGTAAGTCGCGTTTAGACATTTTATATAGATTTTAAGACGGTATATTCACAGAGTAGATAGGTTCCATATTCAGAGTTAATACGTTGACAAAAACTGAGGTTTCTCTATGTATTCCTCATTTGTAATATTTGGCTAAAAGTCTGGCAGCCTAATTTTGTGTTTCAAAAAGTAAAAAGTATAAGTTCAGGTTAGTTAAAGTTCAGATTAATATAAGGCCAGCTTAAAGAAAATACTAAAATTGTTAGGGAATATATATGTTACATATATATATTTGAGTTACTTTCAAATCTCATATTATAAATACAATTTGTAATAGCATTTTCAATTGGTGTCCGGTGTGAGAAGGTCTAGTCTGTCAATTCGTTTCGCTGTGATGACAAATATCAGCATCACCATCGTCAACTAATTGGATTTTCGGATCTTTGCACAAAAAATATATTGCGGAATATTGGAGAGCATGAGGACGGTACAAGGAAGCAAAGTGCCAGCAGGTAAAAAATATAAAAAGGCACAGCGAAAAAGATTAAATTCCCTCGTTACGTCTTATAGCTGAGTTGAAAATAAGAGCCCGAAAATTGCGACATAAAATGAAAATAAATATTGAATTATTGATATACAATATCTCAAACGAGTATTGAGTGGCGAGCAAACCAACGGAAAAGTTTATTTGCGGATGGTTGTAAATACAAATTCAAACATACAATTCCTGTATACAAATGTCTTCTTATTCAAGATGAAGCTGACAATTGGTTTAATGCAAATTTAAGAAGATGTTCTTGACATTCTCTGCACTATCTTGGGGGATATTTTATATTTTTTATATTTTTGCTTGGAATTTAAGTTTCATATTTTATTCCGTATATAATATATGACAAACTCTATAAAATACAACCATATATGAGACTCATCCAGTTTACAGGCATTTTTGTCTCAGCTTTTTGCAAATATTTGCTTTTTTATCTTTTTATGTATGTTTCAGGACCCAAGCTTTTCGCACACCACCATTCACTTCACCCTTAGCCTGAGCTCAGGCCTATTTCTTGGGTCGACGTAGCCTACACAATATTTTGCATGTTTGCATACAAAATATCATATTTGCCGAGATTGTTTCATTAAAAAAACAGGTGCTGTTGCTGTGCACATATTTCATCTGCCTACTTTCTACCGCTGAACACTCCCTAGTACGTGTTTAGCTTTAGCACCTCCGCACACCCGCACACTAACATATGCGTGAGCCATAAAATGGTCATATTACCAAAATAGCAGTAAGTGCGCCAAGGAAATTGGTTTCTCCGCGGACCAAAAATTATATGTAGCACGGTTACACACACGCATAAATATATAAGATATCGTAGTCAATGGGAAACTGTTTCTAGTTATGTATGCTGGACAGGTGAACTTCACTGGTAAGCTCGTAAAAGTTTACCCGATTTCTGTTGTACATTGCTACTACCATGGATCAATGCAGCCTAAAGGTATGATTTCGATTTTGAAATAAAAAAGTTGAGGAGAAATATTGTTTCCCTCGGATTATTGGACATATAGACCTACAAAAACTACTGTAGCCACGCTCAATACTAAATTTTAATACTTGTATAAAATGAGATAAACTAATTATTATTTTTACCAACCGAAAAGTTTACGCTTTTTCATACCCAAAAAGAAAATCAATTATTTGATCAGTGTACACATTAAAATACAAACAGGTGACACCAAAAAAACAAAAATCAACATCTAAAATGGGCTATAATAAGATTCTCTTAATGTATTTGAGACCTTTGAGCTTCGAACTACGCCATAGCGGACAGTGATTTGTCTGTAACTTCTCCCTAATCAATATTTGGTTGTTCATTCAGAGTAGCGATTCTTGACTAAGAAGAAGGGACAAAGGACGCACGTCTTTATCGGAGATTAAGTGCGATGGTATCGTTACAGTCATAGTCATAGTCACAGTCATGGTCCCAGTCTTCGTTAGTTATATTGTGCTGAAATGTGCTTACAGGACGTTAATTACTTGCACCTGGAATTGAGATAATTGTTGCCTTTTGTTTGGCTCTGTCTATGCGAGATAATCAACTTGCAATTTGGCCATGTGTTTCTGGTCCCTTGGATAACTTAATATAATGTTCGTAACCGATATTTGGCTAACTATTTAGTACAAGAATTTATCATCACAAACTAAGTAACTAAAGAGCTCGAAAACCATTATTTTCTGCTTCTGTAATCATAACATATATCACTCGAATACTTTTGGTATTTTTCGTGATATTCTTTGATATCATAACTTGACTTTTCACAGTTAATTTACTTTTTCCAAGTGGCCCAATAACTTTTTATCCAATCGACAAAAAAAATCATTACAATGAAAATGTAATAAGACAAAATCAGACTTTAATGGGATTGCTTCATGGATGGAATTTGAGAAGAGGCTGTCAGCTGCTTTGAACTTTTTCCAACCCACACAGGTCACACGCACTCACACCCTCCCTAAGGACTGAACTCAAAGCAATTGGGGGTAATTCAATAAGAAAATAATAGGAAGCAATGACTTAAAAAAGCCAAAACAAAAGCAGCGTTTGTGTGGGGGGCTGTTATAAAATAAAATAATCATTTATTTGGACCAGTTTTAAGAGCGTCTTGTCATCTGTTTTTCTTTTCTTATATGTTCGCCGTTACTAACTCAACGACGCAACGACAAATGTCTAAAAGCCACCAACGCCCTTTCGCTGGGATTGCTTAGTAATTGCTTATGAAATATGCATAGATCGCCCGCCCACTTCTCCATCGGCTCTCTTCAGCCGGCAGGGGGCACGGACCCTTTCCAGTTCGCAATTTTTGAGGCTCTTTTTACTTTTTCATATATCTATATATATATATTTATATGTACATATGTATGCAAGCACAATGTACATACTTTTCGGCAGGCGGCACAGTTAGCCCAGCCTAGCATGACATTGCCACTTAGCGGCTACATTAATGGCTGTGCCAAATGACTCTATCTCCTCTTTCCTCTTTCGCCCTTGGCCACACTGTGCGTTTGTGTGTGAGCTGTAACTGAGCGTGTAACGGTAAATAAACTAATACCAACATTTTGGAGACGAAATGTTTTAGGCATAAAAGTGTAGCCGACTTTGCTGCGTATGAAGATGTAACATCATGTTCCACCCGCATTCCCTATATTTTTTTTCTGTCCCACACCGAAAGCATCATGAATATTTAATGTTGACATGTACAAAGTATCGCACATACATACGAAAACTTGTAACTGTACATCAACAACATGTGAATGGGAGGGAAAGCGAAGGCGAATGACAAGAAAAAATTACGAATGAACCAAAATGTTTTTTTTTTGCAAAGAGCTTAATTTGTGTATACCCTTGCAAAGGGTAATATAACTATTGGTTAGCTAATTTCACTACTCTAATATATTTAGAGTTGGGAAGTTACTATAGTTGGAAAACCCTAAAATTGCACAGGACTTTTTTAATTAAAAATAGTTCTAAAATGTTTTACCAGCTTGGAAACCAAAACAAAATAAAAGTTGACCAAACTATCTTGCATAGGTTTCTTCAGGTAACATTTATACATATTAAAGCTTTTAAAATTTATCTTCCACGATTAAATTTGTAGCTACCAAAATGTAAATCTAATATATAACGACTCATCATGATTGTGAAGAACAGATAACTA